AACCCTGTGTCCCATTCTAAAAATTAAAAAAATTATACAAAATAGAAAAAATAAAAACTTTCTGATTCTGATGTAAATTAATGTACAATTTCTTGTGTCTGACACGTTTTGAGAATGAACGTGCATATATATTTACTTGTGTGTGCGAGCATTGCAGACCGCAAGTTAACTGCAAGTTTACCTTGACTTTCTAATGCTTCTAATGCCTTTTTTGCCAAAGTTCAAGGCATTGGCTACAGACAAACAGTGCCATTTCTCCCACTAGTTCAAGCCACCATACTGTATGGTGGCTTGTGGGAGAACTGTATGTATTGAATGTGTGTGTGTATACAGACTGCCTGCCGACAGGCAAGGCAGGCAAGTGCTTGGACCAGAAGGGGGCCCCCAAAGAAGGTAGATTAAGAAGGTTCACAGCAACGACCACATGAAACACCCTTTAATTTACTGCAACGACACGTCGGGAAACCCCCTCAAGGGGCACCGTAAGAAACTGCTTCTTAATTTCAGTTTAGTTCAACTGAAATTATCAATACCAGTAAAGTCCCTGTTTTGATCCGGACCAGTGACCTTGTAAAAATTCACAAGTGGACCTTTAATAAAAAAGTTTGAGTACCCTTACAGGATGGCAGTTCTAACCAGGACGTGGCCATCTCTGTACTCTCGACGGGCTGATTTTGATTCATTTCGGGTCGATTTGGCAGATTCAGGGGACTCATTAAGATTGGACAGATTGCTTATTCATTTGAAAAATAATTGTCCAGAGAAGAGGTAATAATGTTCATCTTGTGCTCTCTATATCCAATGGTCGCAACATTACACACAGTAGTCAAAATCAGCCCTCTGAGAGTACAGATATGGCCCCTTTCTGTCTGATGTCCTTCAGAAGAGCTGTGAGACTCTCAGTCTTCAGACACGCTTGGCTGTCTTTTATAATTTCGCACAGCAATACAATCTTTAACCTCAATCACCAGTGTGTGTCTGTGTTCACATTGTGTTATATTCTCATTCTAGTTTGCAGATTGAACTGCGAGCCGTCCGTTTCGACCTTGAGACAATAATTCCTTTCCCGACACAAAATTTCACATGAGCCCAAACTGAGGACGAATCACCGTCCTTCTGCAGGAGGGAGTCACACCCAGATCCCCCATAAAACCCGTGATTAATGTACCGCCGTGCTGGGATCTGCCCCCCCCCCCAGACACAGGGACACACACACACACTGAACGCACACACATGTTAACACACTGACAGTAGAGAGCAGAAGCTCCATCAGACCGACCTCTTCTCTAAAAACAAAGGTGGAAAAAGCTCCATGGATTTAGATTTAGCTACACACACACACGCACACACACACACACACACACACACACACACACACACACACACACACACACTTATAAAGTATATAAGTATAATACTGTATGGCTGCAAGTACAGATTACTAAAATGTTCCATTAAAATGCACTCAGTAAACCTTTGTTTCTGTACATTGCATATTCTTCTTATTAATCATATTTTGCACATTACCACTTTGAAAAGTATGGCAGATGTTTCTTTCTACATTTTGTATTTTATTTAATATACACAATTTATAGTATTTGTTCATATTTTCATTTAATTTCCTACATTCAGCTTCAATTCAATTTCATACATATTGGAAAGATTTTAAAAGATTTTTATCATAGTTTTTTCTCTTCTATATTTCAGTTTTTGTTCATATTTTAAAAGTTTTTCAGGTTTTTTATTGCAATTTTCCTCAAAACAGCTTATAATGTAAATAATATATTTTGTACACAATCTTTGGAAAAACATTTATTTTGTAATTTTCCACCACAAAGCATCCTTATAATAATAATATATTTTGTTAAAGTAGTTTTTTTAAATTTATTTTATTCTATATGTAGGTTTCTTGATATATTTACTGTTTTCATTTTTTATTTATATTCAATGTTCTTCTTATGCTTGTTATTTCCACGAGTCAATAAAGAAACATCACACTTAATATTTGCTGAATTGAAGCGTAACAAAACGTCTAAAAAACCAAATGATTATTGAATCGTTGCAGATCTTTTTTCTGTTGATCCACTAATTGACTAATCGTTTCAGATCATGTTGAGTTTTACTTCTCCTTGCTTTGAGATTCCCAGAGGCAGCGTTTCCTCCGGAGGAGTTTGACCCTCCGGATCATTAGGAGACTGTCTGAGGCTTTAAGGTCCAAGCCGATTTTCGGCATCGATAGATGTCGGGCCGTTGATGAGCGTCGTGTCGCTCTACTCAGATTGGTGTGTCTTGGTGTGTACACTACATTACATTACATTTAGCTGACGCTTTTATCCAAAGCGACTTACAATAAGTGCATTCGACCAGGAAGATACAAACTTGAAGAAAACAGAATCATATAAGTACATCAGGTTTCATAGAGCCAAAACATTTCAAGTGCTACATTTCAAGGGTGTAACGCACCGTCGTGTCTTTTCAGCCGGGCCGACACCTTCCGCCGCCGATTCCACATGTTGAGTCGGGAGGCTGTCGGCCAAATCAATCACTCTGATTGGCTGTTCAACTAGTGAATCAGTGCATGAGAAGCGAAACGGAAGTGAGGGACCCAAACAAACTATTAAGAAGGCAAATCTGAGATTTCATTTAACTCCAACTCTCGACACAGGTTCGGGAAAGCCCCATGAGCTTCTCGCTGTAGAGTGAAAATGGAACGCACGCTATTTGTTGTTTGTTTATATCACGCAGTCTGTTCTTCTTCTCTCGGTTATCACGCAGTCTGTCTTCCGGTTGTTGCCTCTTTTGAATGACGAATACACACTACCGCCGCCTGCTGGTAAGGAGAGTTATTGCCACTCACGCATGCGCAATTCGTACGTGCAACTTGGCCGTCGGCTGAAGTCTTTGCGTTGTGTTCCAGTGCGAAACATGGCCAAGACGCAGGAGACGTGAGGCGACGTTCCGTCGGGACGTGTTCTTTGGTGTCAGTTTGGTGTGTAGAGGCTTTAAGAGGCTTTAGAGAGGCTCCTCTGGGACGCTGAGGGCTGCTTACCTCCTTAACCCCCCTCCCCCATTTTATGTTGTATCTAATTCTTAACATGCTTGGGTGTAAATCTTTCCAAATGTCAGAGAGAAGGGGTGAGTCAACCACTCACTTTGTGTTTGGGTTCATTTAAGTGGCTTTTGGTATTCTTAGATCAGCGTTTTGCAGTTTTAAGTTTACTTCAGTGTAATTAAAATGTAATTTCTCTGGCTGCTCTTAGGCCGTGACACACATTATCACCTCAGGGTGGTAGCAAATGTAATAGTTGTGTATGTGTGTATGTGTCCTCTTGGCTTTCTATCTTTGTGAAGACCAGCATGAGGTTTTGACCTAGAGATGGAGGAAGTATATCCTTACTTCTAAAATGGCTGTTTGTGGCAAGGGTATTGATTAGGGTTAGGGTTAGAGTGATCGTGTTAACTTGGGGAAAGTTCAGAAAGTCAGAGTCTTTAAGTACATAGTGTCAAAATGTGAATCACCATATCTATCAAGATCGGATTTTATAACGAGGAAATTACGAGTGAGTGTGTGTGTGTGTTTTTTTAAAGCAGATGTCTGATGAAATCTTTTTGTTTGCAACTTGAAATGGAAGGTTACATAAAATGGAATCCTATTTGGGTAAGAGATAGATTAGATGTTTGAAATATTCATGGCTAAATAATTATGTACAAAAAACTGAAACATCTCCTCTCAACGTCACACACATGCACAGGGATGCTTACTTTCTCGGTAGCGATCCATTTGGGACCTTCCCTTCATTTCCTGTGACAATGCTTAACATCACAATGAGGGAAAATCTGAGTGAAAAGCAAACACACACCCCAGCTGTAAAACTGGACTTTCCAGCCCAACACCCCTCTTAAAAACAGTTTACTTTGTGAGTTGGAAAATCAAGTCTTTGCCAAGCAAAGTTAATAACTAAAGCACATTGGCTGGTAGCTTTAACAGGTGTTATTTTTATCACCACAGCTTTCTGATATGCCATCACATGTTTCAAGTCCCTCACTTACAAACCAAAAAGCGCACTTTATACCATGTTTTCAAACTTTAGTAGGATGGACATGCTTGCCTTTTAAAGTGAAAAAAGCTTATCACAGCGTGACTTAATAAGGACATGGTAACACTAGCATATGTAAGATGAGGAGATCTCATAGTCTTGCAAATACCGACAGGAGATGTGTGGTGTGTCAAGATTAGATGTTGCACTCCAGGCCAAAAATGTTACTTAATGTTGTGTGTTATTTTTCGAGAGGGCAGTGTATCGAAAAGCACAACTGTTTTAGTAGCATATCCCTATCCCAAAGCCGTGACACCAAACCATTCCAGAAGTATGTGAAAGTATGAAAAAGGGAAGCTTAGTTTTTATGACAGATTCGTTTTAAACAAACCTATGGATATATGCGTTGTAATATGCTTACAACCCTGTACAGTTAAAGTTATAATCACTAATTAATACCGATATTGCTATATAAAAAAAATCAACACATCATAAAGCATTTGAAAAAAAAGGTCAAATATCCTGATGCTTCATAATTACTTGTCACTCACTGAGGATCAAAGTGTACTATCATTCCCATAGTTGTAACACAATATACAATTTCACAGCGCCACAAAACACTTTATAATCATTTAAGATATGCAGCATACTATTACAAAGCATTGTAAGTAGTCTTTTTTCATAATGTGCTTGCAACGAAAATGTCGGTTGGCCAGAAATAAGTATGAGACCATAACACAATTAAAAAAAGTTATCTTTTGTTTTAAAGCATTCTGAATAAGTATGATTGCTTCTAACTAATCACACAGTGCTAAAAGCAGTTTGAGTTCATAATGCTAAATAAACGTGGGCTGAAAAAAAGCAGTGAAAATGATATTATAATAATAATTTACAAAAGCAGACTAATTTAAAGGGGGAAGTGTTTGTGGCTATTGTTTAAGATTCATATCATGTTTGCTTCTGATTTCCCAGGCGTCCCCTTTGCTGTTTAGGCGCTAGAAGATGAGGGGGCATCAGATGGTCCCGCTCTGTGTCCTCCTGGGCGTCCTGTTTGCAGGACTCCTCCCCAACCTTGAGGCTCAGGAAGGTAAGTCCATGTAAATCATGTCAGATCATCTGTCTGCTTGGTCATTGTCATGTTTGCTCATCTAAAATTAAATAATCTGCACCAGTTCATATATTCCAAAATGAATTGCTTCAGAAAAACCCATGAATGTCTTTAACAACACTTTACTATGAGCGTTGTTTTCTAAATATTGATCAAGCAAATAGGTTCCACATGAAACATAAAACAACATAAAACAATAGAGGATATCATACAACATATTTACAAGCTACATTTACATACTTATCAACATTTACAAATACCCATAGTTTCAAAGAGAATTTCATTTAGACTTGAAGTCCTGGCACACGTCAAGGCTATGCCGTACCGTGGGGGGGGGCACCCGGACCGGCCTCGGCCTGGATTATCTGATCCACACACAGTTGACCAGCGCTTCTGGCAGCCGCGCAGCCGATGGTGCGGCCCAGTTGGTGGTGGTGTTGACAGACGGCCTGTCCCAGGATGACGTAGCGGAGCCGGCCCAGGTGCTGCGGCGTGGAGGTGTTGGCGGTTGGATTTCAGGATGCGGTTGACTCTGAGCTCAGGGAGATGGGCAGCCAGCCCCACGACACTCATGTATTCAGTATAGATACTTTTATGACTTTACGAAATATAATTCCAGATTTAGTAGTAGGGCTTTGCGACGTGGTGAAACGCTCAGGGGGGGGTCCTGTGGTAAGCGAGGCCCTCTTGGCTGGAGGAGGGACAGGTAATGAAATGGGACCAGTGTCACTACCATTACTAATATGTCTAGATGTGCAGGACGAAGCTGCTGCATATGTGGCCGTGACTGGATTTGATTATTAACACAATCAATATGTTTAACCACAATAACCTTTCACCATCCAACTGCGGAATTAACAACACTTGTTTTGTCTTATCACACTTAATATGTCCCTACTGCTTTAAGAATCACAATAAGAACCGCATGTGATTGATATTCCTACAGCATCTTCAACTGGAGTGTAAACTGATACATATGCCATGTGCAAAGACATAATGAGCATGGATTGAGAAAAACATATATAAACAAAGGGAAACATCTTTCCAGGTGCTTTAAAACCTGGTATATATTTATGTTATATGTTATGTGTTGGCATCAAACACCTTTTTTTCAGATAAAGCCTTTTTGTATTCAACACAGTTTTGGGTTGAGGGACACAATACAGAGAGTAGGAAATACAATTTTTAAATTTAAATACTGACACCTCAGACTTTTTGATGGCCAGAAAAACCGTTGAAGAAAATTGACTCCAGGATGACATCATATCTCAAAATCAACCAATGAGCTTTTAACAATAGCTAACCATGCACCACTGCTTATGTGTCCTGCCTTATGTTTGTTTTTATCAGTCACAATGACTATCTGTGCAAGATATGTTCATGTTGTGTATTTTAAACAGAGATGAACCTGCTTGGACTCATCCTTGACCTACAGAAGTACTTTGAGAATATGTGTTAGGTATAAATGATACGCAATATGTAACAATAAATAACCAAACTGACAATCATACATGATTCCTAATAAAATCAATTGAAAACATCTCTTATATACAAATGTAAACTAATTTACATTAAATCATGTACAATATTCTCAAGTACTATAAACTTGTAGGCACCAAGGATATGCCACAGGGTCATGACTGGTCACTTTATCTGAGGTCCATAACAAGAGTCTGCATGGGATGGCTGAATACAATGGCGATAATAGAAGGGACACATCACAGAACATATCCTCCTCCTTTAGACATTAGGTTGTAAAACTACCCTTCGATTAGTAATTTATTTTGTTCTGACTTCCAAACCATTTCTGACCATTTATAGATATTTTGGTTCTTGTCCATTAGCAATTTGTTATAATCAAAAATGTTCATAAAAGTTATATTTAATAATTAACTTAACAATCCTACATGTCAAAAATACATATTTTTTTATTTCTCAATCTAACATTTTTTTAGTTGCCCGGTGTTGGAGTTATCAGCCATATGACAAACTTTTCTCTAAAATAATGGAACTAGATGGCATTTGGCCGTTTCTCAAAGTGCCAACGTACAATAAAAAAGCTGACCAGCAAGGACTCTTTTCCAGAAGTCAGGAATCATGACCTGGCAGTTGGAAAAAGAGACATCATTTTCCTAATCGATAGTACAATGGGTGCAACGATCATCAATTCTGTGCGTGAATTCATCAAGCGGTTTGTGGAAATCATGCCGATTGGCCCAGATCAAGTTCAAGTGGGCGTGGCCCAGTTCGGCAATGTCCCTCGACTTGAGATGGATCTCAACTCCTATGGGTCCAGGGAGGAATTAACTGCGGCTTTGAGCTCTATCAAACCAAGACCTGGACAGACCGTTAACATTGGAGCAGCCTTGGACTTTGTGCGGACAAATATGCTGCGGCCTGAGAAGGGCAGTCGTATGAACCAGGGGATACCCCAGGTTTTACTGCTGATGACCAGCAAAAAGTCCAGTGACAGTGTGGAAGCACCAGCTTTGGCCCTGCAGAGACTGGGCGTGTTGACTCTAGCTGCAGGCTCCAAAACGGCAGAGGTGCCGGAGCTGCAGCAGATAGCCTTTGCTGACAGCGTTGCATTCTATATGAGGGACTTCCGGCAATTGATTCGCAACCCAAAGGACATAGTTGATGCGCTCTCCACTCTAGCTGGGGTGGTGGTGACTGAACAACCCACAGAGCCAGGTACGTTTTTAATAATAATTAAATGAACAAAATAAGTACATTTGAAATATAACATTTGACATATTAAAGTACAACCTTGAAAAAAGTGGACACAATGAATGCAGATGCTTTGAACGTTAAAGTATGCTGCATGATAAAAGTAATCCATTTAAATCTTACTTGCCTTTGGTTGTGTGACAATACATATGGGAAATTTTAGAATGTTATTTTGTCAACAAATTCAGCCGCGATCAGAAAACCTAAAAAAGGTATGAAAAATGAAAAATTAATTAGATGTAAGCAATTTTAAGGCCATGTTTTGAAGAGAACGAGGAGGAAACAGGATTTTTTTAACGCAATTATTTTGGCTTCAGATGTAATGAAGCTTAAAATCCTTCCATGAGTGTACCACTTTGATGGGCATATTCACAAAGAATGGATTCTGACCATTAATAGCCCTGAGAATTGCGCAAAATGTGTTGAAAGTTGAAATGCTGAACATAATTTGAGTAAATAATGTTAATGTAACTAAGTGATAAATTGCACCATGTTTTACATGTTCAAAACAAGTTCATACTTACACATAAATCAACAGCAGAGAATCAACTTTATTACATAAAGAAATAAGTATTGTTTAAAAAAATAAATAACTGTACCTGTGTAAATGTAAGCAATACGGATGACTTAGTTTGATACCTTTTTTTAGTACTTCATTTGATACTGATCTTGTTATGGAAGCATTCAGTTGCCTAAAATGCCACATCACAACATCACTCCCCTTTCAAATGATTTTAAAGCAAATGCGTTTTGAAAATATAAAAATTGTTAAAATAGTTGTTGACCTTGTACACGATTGATTGGGATACTGAATATAAATCACAAGTAACCGCATACTGTGTGTGAGCAGAATATTGGTTGGGCGAAAGAGAGAGGAGTGGATGGGCGAGAGCAAACACCTTTTGGTAAAACAAAGTTTAGGGGAAAAACGTATGGTCTGTGGAGTACGGCTAGCCTTGTGTACGCAAACAATAAGCAGAATGAAAATATAAAGGTGTTACGGATTGCTTTGTAAGTCTTAATTATTAGTGTTTCACTAATTGTTTTACATTTTCAAAAGCCTGAAACTATATGTAAGTGGTATCACAAAGAGGATCATTTGTTTTGTTTTTGTGCTTTTTCTTAGTGGTGGAGATAACAACAGTGCACACTCAAATAGTGGTCAGAGACATTGTCTTCCTTGTGGATGGCTCAACCTACATTGGCAGCAGTAACTTTCCTTTCATGAGAGACTTCATTATCAACGTGGTCAACCAGCTGGATGTAGGTCCTGAAAGAGTCCAGATTGGTCTCCTGCAGTTTGCTGACCGTCCAAAAATTGAATTTTATCTGAACAGTCACAGCAACAGGCAAGATGTTGTGGATAAAATCTCTCAACTCAGACTCTCCGGAGGCTCAGTTCTGAATACAGGCGCTGCTATGAATTATGCCCTTGAAAACATGTTCAGGGTATCAACTGGCTCACGCAGGAGGCAGGGAGTCCAGCAGGTGTTGGTTCTGATCACCGGTGGTCCAGCCCAGGATCAGAATCAGGTCAAATCTGTAGCTGATAAATTGGCTTTGGCTGGTGTTTTGACCTTCACAGTCAGCTCTGGGCAAGCAGATGAAGCGCTAATGAGGAATGTTGCCTTTGTTCCAGATTTGGCTTACCATGAAACAAGCTTCTCTAGTTTACCAGCTGTAGCTGAAGTAATCATGTCAAAGTTGATAACAGTTGTTGGCGATACAGATACAGTGACATCCGTATTCCCTGATGAACCTGGTGAGTTTTTAATCTTTCTGTTGATATAAATGATTAATTGCGACATACATAAAGAGTTGACTGATTTTTTTCTTCACTCAGCTGCTGGAGGGGAAAGGGATGTTGCCTTTCTCATTGATGGCACAGAAAGTGTTCGTGGAGATTTTGAATACATCAGGGATTTTATCATTAAAGTCATTGAACCACTTGACATCGGGATTGACAAAGTGCGAGTGTCAGTGGTTCAACACAGTGAGAGTCCAACACCAACGTTCTACCTTAACACGTATCAAACCAAAGATGAGGTAATAAGAGCTGTCAATGGAATGACTCTGACTGGTGGACGAACCTTAAACACAGGAACTGCTCTTAGATTCATGAAGGATACCATCTTGTCTGAAAGGCATGGTAGCCGTTCCTTACAAAATGTCCCTCAGTTTCTCATCGTTTTGACTGGAGGCAGATCTAGGGACAATGTGAAGGATCCTGCAGGAGCGCTGAAAACAGACGGGGTCGTACCATTTGGTGTTGGTGTTAGAGATGCAGACCCGAGGCAGATTGCGGCCATTTCGCACAACCCTTCCTTTGCCTTCAATTTGAGGGAATTCAGTGAGCTTAGCACTGTACCACAAAAGCTCAACAACTACGTGAGCCTTCCAAGGGAAGAGCTGACCCTGGTTCTACAGCAAGGTAAGCTAAATGTTTTTCTGAGTTCTTCTGTATGCAACATCTTCTGTATGAAAAAATTATTTTCCACTGATGTTTTATCAGGATAACTAAATATTATTTGTTGTGTCTTAGTACAAAGCAATGCTGCAAAAAGAGATATTGTGTTCCTACTGGATGGCTCTGATAACACAAGAAATGGATTCCCAGAGATAAAGCTCTTTGTTAAGAGCATAGTGGAGAGCCTGTCTGTCAGTGAGAGCCATGACAGAGTGTCTGTGGTTCAGTTCGCTGCTAACCCTGATGTCAACTTTTATCTGAATTCTCATAAGACAAAGAATGACATGCTAAATGCTATAGATAAGTTAAGACACAAGGGTGGGAGACGCCTGAATATAGGGGGAGCTCTCCAGTTTGTGAGGCACAGTGTCTTCACTTCTTCCACGGGCAGTAGAAGACTAGAAGGAGTGCCCCAGATTTTGATTGTTCTAATTACAAAACCATCCAGTGATAATGTGAGAAGCTCAGCGTCTGCCCTTAAAGAGCATGACATTGTGTCAGTGGGGGTTGGAGTGGGAGATGCAAATCTTTCTGAGTTGGAAATGATTGCCTACAAACCTGGTTTCACATACAAAGTCACGGATTTCTCTGAGTTGCCCTCAGCACAATCACAACTTGCTGCTATACTGAACATAACCAAAGAGACTGGGGAAACCATGACTGGAATCTCTGATTTATTAGGTAAGAATTCCATGTTTAATTACATGCCTACATTTGGTGTACGATATAATGTTCTTTGTCTTCAGAATAAAATGATTTACTGTCTCTTAATATCTATCATTAATATTTAAATTAAATTCTTAGTCAAATTACTAATTTAAAGATGATGAACGACTACAAATGTTTTGGCAAATTTCTGACACGTTTCTGACATTTTATGAAAAAGCTAATTTCTCAGGCTTTTCCAGAATGTGAAACTCTTTCAAATGTCTTTCAAAAAGTCGACATAAAAGTTACTGGCAAATTCTATCATACATCTTTCTGATAAAAAGATGGTTCTTTGCAACTTGAATTAAGACTTTCAGAGCAGTGGCTCTTCTTTCTTTCTGGGCTCAGTTTATTCCTCTGAGCTTCTTTCTTGCTGATGAATCTACTTGAGGCTTAGAAAATCTTGATCGTCAATCGATGAATCATTTTTCTTTCTATCCATGTATCACCTTGTTAACACAGGCAGCAATAAGAGGGACTTAGTGTTTCTCCTTGATGGGTCAGATGAGTCCAGAAATGGCCTACCAGCTATTCGTGAGTTCATCAGAAGAATGATGGAAGACCTGGAAATTGCTGAAGATAAGATTCGGGTGTCGGTCGTACAGTATAGTAATGACAACACAGTTTACTTCAACCTTAAAACTCACAGATCAAAGAAAGCAATAATCCACGCTGTCAGAAGTCTCCGGCATAAAGGAGGAAGACCTCGGAACACTGGAGATGCTCTACAGTTTGTGCGAGACCGTGTATTTACACCTTCATCCGGGAGCAGACGCCTGGAGGGAGTCCCTCAGATTCTATTTTTACTGACCGGTGGCAAGTCCAATGACGATGTCTCGCAAGCGGCATTAGACCTAAAACAAATCGGTGTTCTGTCTTTCGCCATTGGAATGAAAAACACTAAGCTGGAGGAGCTTCAAAGAATTGCCTTCTCCTCCAGATTTCTTTTCAACCTTCCTGTCTTTGGTGAACTTTTGTCTATTCAGCCGGAGATTTCTGCATTTGTCAAGGCTGAAATACAAATTGAGCCCCCCACTGTTATAGGTAAGACGTGTCCCATATTTGCATTTGAGAGTTGAAGCGACCTTCCGCTGGTTTAGTGCACTTTATTTTCCATAGTTTGAATTGCAATGAAACTGCATCACCTTCTGAAGAATGTCAGCTGATCAGTTTCATGTTTCTCAAACATTTTTTCACTGGATTTCACTGGCGAGTCAACTTCCTTGAAGTACTGTTTCTTGATTGGCTCTCGTCCTTTTTCCCTTCAAGTCTTTTCTTGACAGCCAATCAGAACATCTCCCTTCTTTCTATTCTTAAGCTCTACCTTGAGCCAATGATATCACATCATTGACCAACTAATTTAGAGCTGGAGAATATTTAAATCTTTCTTTTAAACTTTTACTTCTTTCATTTCTGAAAGAGGAATATGATTTTTCTTATCTTGTAGTTGGTTTCAAGTATCTGAATACATTCTTCATCTACCATTTGTATACATTTTTGATTAGATCTATCACCTTGCTTATCATAGTAAATACCAGCTGTTATAACCTCTCCAACTACCTAATGTGTAATTATTGCACCATAATATATCTTTGCTTGTGCAGTACATGTCTAATTGTTAAATAAGGTTTTCCAATTTTTTTCTAGTTGAATTAGAGTCCCCTCAAAGAGACATAGTGTTTCTAATTGATGGGTCGGATGACACACGGAATGGCTTCCCTGCTATGAAAAGCTTTGTCCAAAAAGTGGTAGAAACACTCAGTGTTGGTGAGAACAAAGACCGTGTGTCTGTGATCCAGTATAGCAGGGATCCACAGACACATTTCAGTTTGAACACCTACAATGAAAAACTAAATGTCCTTGCTGCAGTCCAGCAGTTGAACCACAAAGGAGGCAGACCCCTTAACACTGGGGCGGCTCTTGACTACGTGAGGAAAAATGCTTTTGCTGATTCTTCTGGAAGTCGACATCAGGACGGTGTCCCTCAAATATTGATTTTGTTGAGTGGGGGAAGATCTCAAGATGATGTTGCAATTGCTGCTGCGGCTCTAAAACAGGACAAAGTTGTTCCATTCTGTGTAGGAACAAGAACTTCAGACATAATCGAGCTCCAAATGATTGCACATAACCCTTCCTATGCCTTCTCTGTGCTCGGGTTTGATGATATTGGGAGCATCTATCAACAACTTGCCGCATTTGTGAAAAGAGTGCCTCGACAGCAGTCACGGCTAAAACCACAAAATGCATTAGGTAAGGCTTAAGATCTATCTATCTATCAATCAATCAATCAATCAATCAATCAATCTATCTATCTATCTATCTATCTATCTATCTATCTATCTATCTATCTATCTATCTATCTATGATAATACATATTTAACTAATTGAGCACCATCCTTCTGTCTGTTAAAGTTTCTACAGATCCAACTGAGTCCATTCAACACGATATTGTATTTTTACTGGATTGTTCAGATGAAATGCAAAATGACTTTAAGGCAATGACTGGCTTTGTTGAGAGAATGGTTGACAAATTCAATGTGGATGAAAACAAAGATCGTGTTTCAGTGGTGCAGTACAGCAGAGAACCCTCTGTTGATTTTTTTCTGAACACACACAAAACACAGAAGGATGTTGCTGGCAATGTGCGCATTCTGAGGCATAAAGGAGGCAGACCCCTAAATTCTGGTGCAGCCCTTCAGTACGTCAAGGATAATGTTTTCACTGCCTCTTCTGGAAGTAGGCACCAACAGGGTGTCCCTCAGATTTTGGTTCTTTTAACTGGCGGACGATCCAGTGATGATGTCAGAAATGCTGTAAAAAACTTGAGAGGATTCGGTGCGATGGTATATGTGGTTGGAATAAAGAATGCAGATACCCTTGAGATACAGTCTATTTCACAGGAAGCCAGTCATGCTTTCTTTGCAGCAGACTCCAGTAATCTGTCAGACATTGAACAGCAAATATTTTCTGAAATCATGAACAATGAAACCTCTGCTATCAAACACACATTATATGGTAAGAAAAAAAAATGACTGTTATGACTTTATGCTGTAACCTTGTGCACAACTTCAGATTGGCATATAACTTAATTCATGGGGTAACTTAATACTTGTAGGAACTTAACATTTTTCATCACACATTTCATCATCAAACATTTGTTTTACTGCCTGTATGATTGCAGATCCCAACAGAAGAGATGTTGTTTTTTTGCTTGATGGTTCTGATGATTCTCAGCGAAGATTCCCAGATATCAAAGATTTTGTGCAGAGAATAGTGGCAGACCTGAATATTGATGCAAACAGAGATCATGTGGCTGTGCTCCAGTACAGTAACGCGCCAGAGATTGATTTTGACTTGAGACGTTACTCAACACAGGATGATGTTCTTGATGCAGTAAGAGGCCTCAGTCACAAAGGAGGTTATCCTCACAACATTGGAGCAGCTCTCCAGTATGTAAAGGACCATGTATTTACTCCTGAATTAGGAAGTAGACTCCTTGAGGGAGTTCCACAGATACTTATACTACTAAGTGGTGGAAGATCTGAGGATGACATAAGGACCCCGGTCCGGATGCTGAAAGACACCGGTGTCATTACAATTGCCATTGGAACAACTGACGCTGACACCCTACAGCTGCAAACGATTTCTCATGAACCCAATTATGCAGTCTCTATTACTGATTACGAGGAACTTCCGACAGCTAAGCAGGATGTGTTGTCATTGTTAAGAGATGCTTCTCAACGTCCAGAGCAAACCACTTCCCCAAAAGGTTTTGGTAAGATGTGATGTTTAAATCTTTTGGCTACAACGTTTTAGCAAAAATAATAAGGCAATGCGCTAAAATAGATTCGAGATTATTGCTATAACTGAAATATTCACTGAAGCGTTTTAAATTACCTGTGAACTTCATATTTGTTTCTAAGTCTTTTGTCTTTGTTGCAGATTCAGAGAAAAAAGATGTAGTATTTCTTATTGATGGATCACATGACTCACGAAACAGCTTTGAAGAGATACAAGGCTTTGTTGAAAAAATGGTTGAAAGTTTAAATCTTGATGAGAACAGAGACCAAGTGGCTATTGTTCAATTCAGCCGTGATGCCACAGCCAATTTCTACCTGAATTCCTATTCAACCAAGAACGATGTGCTCAATTCCATAAGAACAATAAGACATAAGTTGGGCAGACCTCTTAACATTGGCAAAGCACTTGAGTTTGTCAAAGACAATGTCTTTGCTGACTCAGTTGGAGGCAGAAGTGCAGAATCAATCCCTCAATATTTGTATGTTTTTAGTGGTGGGAGGTCAGGGGATGATGTCAGAGGACCAGCACAATCACTCAAAGAAAATGGCATAAATACTTTTACTATTGGAACAAAGAATGCTGATACATTGGAAATGCAAACCATCTCTTTCACTCCAGCACATTATTTTCATGTCACAAACTTTAACAATCTGCAAAGCATACCTACATCTGTAGAAGCCACATTGAGGGGTGTTCAAGAAACAACAGAAATGCCAACTGCAATTGGTAAGTTTTAGAGAAATAGCCATAATTTTTGCATGAAGATCTGCTAGATGGACATACAAGTTGTATGATTGTATACCATGGGTATACTAAAAAAATGTCCGTCTAAGGTAAATATGTTGGTTTTGTAAAATGTTTGTTTTTATCGATTTCAGACACTTCCACAATTTCAAAGTTAAAGCTGCTGAGTGCCGATGTTGTTTTTCTTATTGATGGATCAGATGAAATGCGAGCAAGTGAAAGACACATTTTTGATTTTGTCAAAGAGTTTGTTAAGCAAACAGAAATTGGGCCAAGCAAGGTGCAAGTGGCTCTGACTCAGTACAGCACAGAGCCCACTTCTGAGTTTTTCTTGAACACGCACTCACTTAAAGATGATGTCATCGGTCATTTGAGCAATGTCAAACTAAAAGGAGGGTTCAGTGTGAATACTGGTCTGGCCCTTGATTACGTGAAGAACAATGTGTTCAGTGCTTCACCTGGGAGCAGATCCCAGCAAGGAGTTCCACAGATACTGATTCTCTTAAGTGGGAGAAAGTCAGAAGATGATGTCTTAGGTCCAGTGGAAAGAATGAGAAAGACTGGAATTGTAATTTTCAGTGTTGGCATGATTGATGCAGAAAGAGCGGAGATGGAGCAAATAGCACACAGCCCTAAAGCGAAGTATTTAATCAAGGGCATTTCTGACTTTCCTCTTGTGAGAGAACAGTTGCTGTCAGACATTGCATCTCATAAAGATACTGACAGCCCTGGTGTAGGTGAGTGAGATTGATTTTTCTTTACTTTATCTTTAATTAATAGATACATGGAACACTATCTTTATAATGTACAGCAATTCAAACCCTGTATACTGCATGTATTTTACTTTCATCCACAGTTTTCAGATTTCTTTTGTTAACCGACTTATATGACTCTGGACTTTTCTAGGTTCAAGCACCAGTATAAGGAGAAATATTGTCTTTCTCATTGATGGATCTGATGATGTCAGGAGTCGATTCCCTGCTTTACGTGAATTTGTTGCAAAGATTGTTGACGGCTTAGACCTGGACCAAGGAAAAGATAAAGTAGCTGTTGTGCAGTATAGCAACAATGCTGAACTCAATTTCAATTTAAATACCTACAAAACAAAAGAAGATGTTCTTAAGCATGTTGCAAGTTTAAAACCAAAAGGTGGAAGACCTCAGTATATTGGAGCAGCATTGCAGTTTGTGAAGGATAACGTCTTTATTTCAAAGGCTGGAGGTCAGCATCAGGAAGGTACCAAGCACATACTCGTCATATTGGCTAGTGGAAGGTCTAGAGATTCTCCACGAGGCCCTGCAAGTAAGCTGAAGGCTGAAGGGGTTGTCACATTTGCAATTGGATCAAGAATGACAAATTCCGCTGAGATGCAAGTCATTTCCGCTGACCCAAATTATGCCTACTCAGTCCCTGACTTTGTAAATCTCCCTCGTATTCAACAAAGTTTAATGAGTCATCTCACTCAAATGGGGGCTGAGGATGAAACTAAAGCAGGTAAGAATTTCGATTATTTGAAAATGTATTCAAACAAATCTTCCGTTGGTGATACATATATAATGATTGTGATTAACATACTTCAACTCAACTTTTGTTAACAGACAAACATATTGAAAATGGAAGAGACATAGTTTTTCTTTTGGATGGATCTGATAACACCAGCAATGGATTTTCAGCAATTCAAGATTTCCTGTACAAAGTAATAGAAAAGTTAAACATTGGACCAAATGAAGACAGAGTTGCTGTTATTCAATTCAGCAATGTGGCACGAGCCAATTTGTTTTTAAATTCCTTTATGAAGAAGGAAGCTGCCCTGACAGCTGTCAGAAGGCCCTCAGGTGGAACACCTCTGAAAATGGGTGCAGCTCTCACATATGTTAAAGAAAATGGATTCACAACTGCCTCAGGTAGCAGATACACCGTGCTACAAACTCGTGTTGTTTTAAGTGGTGGGCCATCAAATGACAGTGTGGATTTGCCCCATGTCACAATATTAACCATTGGAACAAAATACGCTGACCCTAAAGAAATGGAGATAAAGTGCTGATGTGTCTGTGGAGTCATGGAGTGCTCCTGTTGATACAGAGCATAAAGCATTCCTTCTGTTAAAGCTGCACACTTCACCGTTGAGAGATACAGCTGACACATCCTGACCCCTGCAGGTAAATCAGCTTAAACAGTTCTTAGCATTTATTTGATGAGAAACACTTATAAATATATCGTTTTCCATCATTTCTGCTGATATGTGTGTGTGGAGTCATGGAGTGCTCCTGCTCTCACAGAATATAACTCCGTGCTTGTTTCCTGTGTGCAGGAATGCTTCCCTATTTTAGCAGCTAGATGCATCACTTCTTATTTTATATTACGTTTCATTTAGCTTTCCTTCAATACGTCTCACAACAAGCGCGTTCAGACATGACGCCACTGACTGAGGAGTCAGTATCAATCAATCAATCAATCAATAAATCAATCAATCACTCAATCAATCAATCAACCAATTAATTAATCAATCAATCAATCAATCAATCGCTAAATGAATCAATCACTCAATCAATCAATCAATCAATCAATGTTTATTTATTTAGCCCAATATCACAAATGTTACATTTGTCTCAGTGGACTTCACAGTGTGTACAGAATATCAGTATGACAATACAACACCCTCTGTCCTTAGACCCTCTGTCCTCAGACCCCCTGTCCTCAGACCCTCTGTCCTTGGACCCTCTGTCCTCAGACCCTCTGTCCTTAGACCCTCACATCGTCTTCCAGAGAAACCCCACAGTTTAAAGGGGAACATGGAGAAACCTCAGGGAGAGCAACAGAGGAGGGATCCCTCTCCCAGGACGGACGGCCGTTTCGATAGATGCCGTGAGCACATCAGCTCTCAATAAGAGCTCTGTGTGGATCTGTTCGCTCTTCCATTCTACACCGACACATCAGTGGGACCCGCTGAAACCAAACCAAAGTACTTTTCAACCCAGTCTCACAAAAAATCTAGTAATAGCCACGTTGGTCCACGGGGCAAAACGTAGTATATTCACAAATAACCCTCTCAAGACGTGACATGGATACAATATGTGTTCCTCTTCATTTCTAATGACCGGTGTCCACGTCACGTGGTCGCACACTTTCCCAGCATGAGATAAAAAAACATTGCGGACACCCGATTTGTTTTGAGTGGAAAACCCTAAATTGTCGGATAGTTTGGCGTTAAAATGCTTTTTGATTACATTTCTAGCGAGAAGTTTATATTTTACTTTCCGAATCTACGTCCAGTGGATGTGTGATCCATAGTTTGATAGATATTACCAAGATGATTTGAGCTCCATGTTTTCTTTTACAAAATATTGTATCAATGTCACGTCTTGAGAGGTTATGTGTGGATATAGCACGTTTCGCCCTGTGGAGAAACGTAGATATTACACCATTTCTTGTGAGACTGGGTTGAGTATTTGCGACCCTTTAAAGCACTTTTTAGCATGTACCACACACACACAAGGGACAACTTGATCTTTGAACACACCTGTCGGTCGTTTCCTAATCCGGTGGTAATCCAAAGACGTAATAGATAAACAGTTAAAAGTGAGCTCAAATGAAAGGATATTCTTTGCTGTACCTTAACAATACAACTAATGCTATTAGCACTGACTCAGCGGGGCTAATGGTAGCATCGGGACGCAAAGTCTCAGTCAGTCAGTCAGAGGGCAGAAAGCAGAGTTTATACAGATGAATTCTCAAGTACATTTCAAAAGGTTGCAAAAAAATGATGTAAGTATTATAAAGTAGAATTGAACTGTGTAAGTAAGTAACACTTTATTTATACGTATAAAAGCCTTCTCAAAGCCTAGGGGCCACCGCCTCAAAGGCACGGTCCCCCTTAGTCTTTAGCCTGGTTCGGGGCACCCTTAGGAGGCCTTGCTCAGAGGACCTCAGGGCCCGGTTTGTGATGTGAGGGTGGATCAGGTCATGAGAGGGGTCTGCCTGCAGACCTCCACTCTCAGGACACCTCCACTATCAGTACAGGAAGTGACGATTCTGACGAACACGTTTTTTTTCCCGCCCACCGAAGGACTCGTCTGATGTCTTTTTTGTCTTTATTAGGATCCCCATTAGCACTAGCATGAGCATTGGCTATTCTTCCTGGGGTCCTCACACACTCAAAACATACAT